AAGTTAAAACAGATATATTGTTATCTCTGGTAACCCTTAATGACATTTTGCTGACCAGGACAGAACAAAATTTATAGATAAGAGATGGGACATGGGAAGAGGAGATCATTTGTTATATTTTAAGAGAAGATGATAAGTCACTAAAATTGTTTATTCTTGTGATGAAGGGATGAAGGGGGAATACATTTCTTTACACGTTTTTCTTATTTTTTCTTTCTTTTGTATTTTTCTTTTTGATTTTTTTTCTGCATATTTTTGATTTTTTTTAGTTTGTATTCATTTTTATCTTTTTTGTTGTAATTTAAAAAATACTATAGATTTATTACATCTAATCTAACTAAAGGGGTTGAAAGATAGAATATAAGTTCCAACATTTGTTTAATTTATCTTTGCATTTCAACTCCAATGAATAGTTAGCTTTTTAAAAAAAAGATCAAAGTAAAAAAATTAAATGGTTTCAAAAATGGAAACACAAGTTACTAGTGTACCGCTTGCCTTGAAGGGGATGCCAGCAATCCTGCCCTTTTATCCCTTTCCCCAGGTGACTAGCCCACCTGGCCCAGGCACACCAACACACCTTGGAGGGAGTTATAGGCTCTAATGAATACAAAATTAGTATTAAAGTGATATAACAACTATAGATGTTACATAACATCTCTACATAACATTGTCTCTGTGCTGAGTCAGCAGGGCCCAAATCGAATTATCTTAGCCCAGAAACAATACAGAAGACATTCTCCCATTGGCCAAAAAAGAAGGGTCTCAGGGGTGGGTAGGGCCAGCAATGGTGGCCTGGGTGCAAACACATCATCATGCAAATGGCATATTTTATGTATTTACATCAGACAGCAAGCCTGTAAGCACCATGTTTATATGACGATATAAACATGGGCATGTGATGACATTCTGTTATTGTTGTTTTTTATTGGGGCCATTGAGGCCTCTGACACTGAAGACGTCTTCAAAAGGGCTGTCTTGAATAGCTTAAAAGCTGGACAGGATTCACAATGAGAGACGCCTTCACTCAATCAGGCTCTAAGCTGTTTGGAGCTTTGATAGTCAATATCTAAAATATAAATCTGGAAAACATGTGTATTTCAAAACTCACTTTTATGTTATCAACATCAATAACTGTTGTGTTGTCAGCATCAATTACTACCCCACCTTCTGTGTTTTGCTCTGGTCTTCTAAAGAGAGCTCCATATAGCACATGTTGTAGTAATCAAGCTGTAATGCATCCAAGGTGTAGATAAGTATCATCAAGTCCAAACCAGCCTAGAAAAGCAATCTGTGGAAGAGCAGGCTGCTTTGTTACAAATTGCAGGCACCTGTGCTGCTTTCTGCCCACCACTAGCACTGCAGAGCTGCCAGTACAGCTAGGACCTTGAAACAGATTGAGAGTGGTAGTAATGGGAGATGTGTATTTTGGCACTCTGAGGCCACCAGCAAACAACACAGCAGCTGAACGAAAGAAGGTGTTTTTCTTTCAGGAGGAGTAGAAGGTGTAAAAGAGAGGGAAAATGTATAGGAACAGAGCAGGAACAAAATACAGTATAAAAAAAGTGCACAAATTCTGGCCATTAAGAGAAAAAGAAGAGCTCCCAAAGAGAGAGAACTTAAGATAGAACAAACTGTCCAGTGCTCTTGTGCGTCTCTTGAGTTTGGGTCAATCCAAATGGATATGTAAAAAAAAAAAAAGTAACATTAGCACACTTAGAATTATGTAAATGCATGCTATGTCACAGCTACTACTTGAAAATTGAGTGATGAATATTTCCAATGAGCAAACAATTCTTCTAACAAAAGTGCAGGATCTGTCCAAATTAGGATGAGTTTCAATTCCGAAGTTCAGTTTTCTATCTACCAATGTCCCATCTTATCCGGATTTAATTTTAATGTGGTCTCCTACATGCAGTCTATTATACAACTTAGGCAATCTTCAGCACCTAACACAATAAAGGTGAGTCTTATTAGCATGCAGAGGCATCTAGGAATCTTTCAGACTAAATTCACTGAAAACTCTTGGAAATCGTTGCTTCTTTTTAGAATTACAAAGTCAGAAAAATGATGAAGGGTAAAACTAAAATGCTTGTCTACATTATCTTATATCCACCTTTTCCATTTTTCCCCACCATAATAACACTGGAGATAGTTTGAGCTGAGATAGTGGCTCAGAGTTACTCTGAGCTTCCTTGCCTGAAGTGAACTTGAATTTTGATTGTTCTCTCCCATCCTAGTAGCTTCATCAGTACCTACTCAGTATCAAATCAATTTGCATTTGCACATGAACAAATGCTCTGTATTCTTTTCAATTATGGAATCAATACGGGAAGACTCCAGCAGGATATAAAGGAAAGAATCCCATTCTTTTTCTTCAGACCTATGAGTGTTTTAATAATCTGTATGGAGGAACGATCACAAAGGAGTTTGGCACCTTGCCCATTTGACTATTTACCACTTGCATTTCTACTTTACACTTGCATCACACTGTGGTTTGTACTGGTGTGGTAGATGTAGGTGTAGTCCAATGCACAATTTCACATGAGAGAGGTTATACTAAGTGTACTGAGCCTTGCAGTGTTGGAGAAGACTCTTGAGAGTCCCTTGGACTGCAAGAAGATCTAATCAGTCAATCCTAAATGAACTCAATCCTTTAGGACTGTTCTCTGGAAGGATGGAGACTGAAGCTGAAGCTCAAATACTTTGGCCACCAAATGAGAAGACAGGACTCACTGGAAAAGATTGTGATGTTGAGAAAGAGTGAAGGAAAAAGGAAAAGGGGATGGCAGAGGATGAAATGGTTAGATAATGTCATTGATGAAGTGGGCATGTGTTTGGCCAGGCTCTGGGAGACAGTGGAAAACGGCCCCCTGGTCCATGGGGTTATGAAGAGTCAGACATGACTTAGTGACTGAACAACACTGGGCCTTGCAGATGAATATAGTAAATGTGTGTGTATAAGACTGTAAGAATCCAGTGTTATGGGTAATGTAACTAATCATCTTATAAGGTAATTAACTCCTTTAATAAAACTGATACTGGTTTGTATTAGTAATAGTTCTAAGAAATAGGAAATTAGAAGCTAAGTGATGTCTCAGCTGAATTGGCTCATGATCAATGCCAATATTAAGTAATGACAGATTGTGCTTGCTTATATGACTTACTCTTCATGAGTCCATAATGTTACTTCATTTTCCTTAGTTGAAATTTAGATGGCGTGCTTAAGATGACTGTGACAGCCGTGGACCAAAGTTTTGCCCTTTACTACATGAGTCATACATGTGGTGCACATAAAAAATGGTGGGATTTTGTCACACATTCATAATTATCTTTATTTTTTATTAGATTTTAATATGGCCTTACAAGCATTGTGTGACATTTAAAATGATGGTGATAAAACAGTAAATAAAGAAAGAATATCTTAAGGCATTTGCCTTAGTGGAGAGAGGAAAAGGTAGAGAGCGAATTCAAATTAACATTAAGCTAATTATTATTAAATGTATATGCTGCTTATCTTGTGGTTGGAGGGGGTCTTACAAGGTGTCTTACAAGGTGTTGAGTGTCTTGCAAGGTGATAAAAAAAAATAATCCAGATATATTGCAGTAAGAATTAATTCTTTGTTTGCTGGGAAACTGAGGAAATTACAGACTTTCCAAACTGTGACTGTTGCCTTGGATTCATGGTGGAGAAAGGGGAACACCACTTCAAACTAAGGAAGCAAAGGAAAGGTTGGGTGGCTCAGTTTCTTTTATACCAAATTCTGGTGAAACAATGCTGCTTTTCCATAGAAGTGTAAGGCTCCTTATGATGATGGTGTCATAATGGAATATTCTTTATTAAATTCGTTTGCTACCCATCTGGCCACGAGGAGACTCAGGGCAGTTTACGTCATTAAGAGTCTGTCACTAAAAAAAAAAAAAAGCCCCACGAATATCTTATTTTCTTTTTCTCTTTCTGCTTACTAAAACTTCTGCTGAGAAATTCTGAGCAAGAGTTCCCCTTTCTCCTCTGCCCACGACGTTGTCGCACCGCCTCACCGACACGGCTCACAACGAGAGCCATGTCGAAACTTTGGCCGGACGGAAAGAGGGGGGGCTGAGGGAAAAGTGTCTCGTCAACCTGACTGCTTAAGAAACAGCAGCCTTTCCCCCCCCCCCCCAAAAAAAGGGGGACGCCGCTTGAAGCGATTCAGAAGGAAACTTGGGATTTCTCCCCTTTCATATTCAAACGCCGCCTCCCGGCTTCCCCCTCCCTCTCCCCTTCCCCGCCTTCTCTCTTCTTTACCTCCGTGACCCCCTGCCCTGCTCTTCTCTCTCCCCCCCCACCCCACCCCCTTCCGAAGGAAGTGTGGGAGTGGATGTTGCGAAGCTCTCCCTTTAAGAGGCAGCCTGCAGTGACGAATTATTGAAATTGCCATTGCAGGATGGCATTCCGCTATAAATGCATTGTTCCACCTCCTCTCATCTTCACAGCGCTCGCCGGGTTCTTCTGCTTCGCTTCGGCAGACTGGGGCTAACCGCCGCCGCCGCCCGCGAACTCCAACGAGGGAGGCTCGCCACTTTTAACCTGGGACGTCTGTCTCTCTCCCTCCCTCCCCCGCGCCCCGCTCCCTCAGCCGGCAAGCGAGGGCTTGCTTTCTGCCCTCCCGCTCCCCCCTTCCTGCCCGCCAAACGCCCGGGAGAAGGGAGAGTAGCAAGAATAAAACCGGACGGGGGGGGGAAGGAAAGAATCGAGGGCTTCCTCCGGTCGCCACTGACGCTCCGCTTTCTCAGCCGGAGGACTCGTTGGCCGCCAAGGGAAGTGTGAAGTCTTTCAACTTCGCCCATGCCTGCTGGCGGCGGGAAGCGCGGCGTCTCTCTCCCCGAAGCCAGTGAGAAGAACCGAAGCGGTTGCAGCCGCTGCTGCTGCCTTTGCAAACGCTCGGTCTTCGCCCCGCTCCTCCGTCCCCTGCCCGGCCATCGAATCGCCGGTCCCGGAGCTCAGCACCAGGCGACTGAAGATGGTTTGCTTGCTGCTGCTGCTGCTGCTGCTGCCGCCGCCGTTGGCTGCGAGCTTACAAACCGCCGCCAGAGTTTCCCCAGCAACTTCAGCACCTGCCTATGATAAAGCTTTGCAGCAACCCAAAGCGGCAGCGGCGGCGGCGCCGGGGACGACGAGGCTCCTCCGACCTTTCTCTTTCCGGGAGCAGCGTCCTAGCGGGGTAGTAGAAAGCATAGATCAGACCTACTCCGGAGGAGGCAAGGTGGGTTACATCCTCTACCTGGATGGGAAGCGCTTCCTCTTAGATCTGGAGAAGGACGCGTTGCTTGGAAGCGCCGAGCAGCTTCTCCAGGGCAAGGGTCGCTGCTACTATCGGGGCACGGTGGATGGGAGCGCCCAGTCTCTGGCAACCTTCGATCTCTGTGGTGGCTTAGAGGGCTATTTTGCGGTCAAGCACGCCCGCTACACAGTGAGACCTTTGCTCCGGGGCCAAGCTGCGAGAGAAGAGGGAAAGGCTTCTCCGGACTGGATCTATGGGGATGCGTCTGCTCAGATACTCCATCTCTTCTTCAGGGATCATTTCAGCTTTGAAACGCTGCCTTCCCGTCCCAGCTGTGAGACTCGTGGCTCCTCCAGGACCCCACTTTTGGATGGAAAGAAACTGACCCAAGGGCAGGAAGGGAAGCTGGAGATAGATCTGACCACCAGAATGGCACATTCCCCTATCACTATTGCCCCTCCGGTGGACTCTAGGAAAAGAAGGAAGCGCTCTATCTCTAGAGCCAGGCAGGTAGAACTTCTCCTGGTGGCTGATGATTCCATGACCAAGAAGTATGGCAAAGGCCTCCATCACTATTTGCTCACCTTGGCCACCATTGCTTCTCGGCTCTATGGACATGCCAGCATTGAGAATCACATCCGCCTGGTGGTTGTGAAGGTGGTGTTGCTGGGGGACAAGGAGAAAGGCCTAGAGATCACCAAGAATGCAGCCACCACACTCAAAAACTTCTGCAAGTGGCAGCACCAGCACAATCAATTGGATGATGACCATGATGAGCACTATGATGCTGCTGTTCTTTTCACCCGTGAGGTAGGTTAGGAAAAGGGCCATCGCTGAGGGAGTCTAAGAACACCGAATTCCATTTTCAATACCGTTTTCTGTTTCGTAGCAGGTGTGTCAGATGACTATGTATGCTGCTTTCTCCTGAACTTCATGAAGTTAATAGTGAGTTGCGGTTGTATTTGAGATTCTGGTTTAACTTGTGTTTCTATTCATACTAACACTTTGCATATGCTGCTCTAGTGGAATACTAATGAAAAACCAAATGAAATTTAAATATCATATAATTACCGCTGGAGGATCCAGCAATTATTGCACCTATATATTAGGAATTTCAAAGAAAGGGAAGGTGTTATCACACAAGTACCTTGATTATCGGCTTCCTTGACATCTGATGGCAGAAGCATCAACGGGGACTGTGAGGATGGGCAATTGACAGCAGCATCATAACTGTGGTGCTGAAAGTTGCATCCCTTTTGTATGTATGTTGTGACATTGCACATACATACAAAAACAATGACTGATGTGATGCTAGAGATGCCACTGTAGGAATTAGGAAATGGAATAGTGTCTTATGGATTCAGTCTCCAACTAAAATTGTCTGAGTAGCTATCCTTACCTTGGCTTTTTATAAACATTAGATAAATTGGTCTCCCATTAAATTTACTCAGAATCCACTTAAGTTGGAAATTGATCTTTGACTCTAACATAGAATAGGCATGCCTAATACCTCATGATAATGTCACAAAATCCTGATATAAATCTGCTATGCATATCTCATAACATTTATGTTTTTTATTTCACCTGGAACCTGATAAGATATTCTATGCAACTTCTACTCTCTGAAATCTTACTCTAACCGATTTTGCTAATTCAGCTTCTGGAACAATTCCGTAAGCCATAGAGTGTTTTCCATTTTAAAGTTGGCATTTAAGTGTGATACATTAAATTTCTCTTGGGGATTTAACTTAACCAGGTACATTGCCATGAGCTGTTGCTGAAGGTTGCTGAAATATATATTTTTTTAAATGTGCTCAATGAAATAAGATATGAATAGAAAAATCAGTAATCCATCAGATTGCACTAATATTCTTTTTCCCCTTTAAGTGCTTTAAAGTTATTATATAAATGTGACATAAGCAAGCAAAAGGATTCTGAGTCTCTTTGGATCAGAGCCAGATTTGTATCTGTTGAGATTAAGTGAGAACAAATTGTGTGATACAATTTTAGGAAGCTTACAGCCTCCTTGCATAGCTGCTGGTGACTTTACATGACATTTTCAGCATGGAGGGAAAGTAGTAATAAAATTGGTGAGGCACAACATGTGTGGCTCAGGAGAGAAGAACATAAATTCAAACCACATGTAAACACAGCCGCAGAGTAGTGCACCAGGTTAGGTGGAGGGTGGGGTCGCAGTACCTCACTCTCCACAAAATAGAAACTGGTTTTCCAGTCTGCCAAGTCTTATTCCTGCTACTTTTGGAATGAGTTCTGAATGTTGTTTTGGAAAGATTGGCTAAACCAGTTTGGGGTCATGGCTCTGGTGTGGCGCATGTGGCACTGTTTGTGTAACAGACCATCTTGTAAGAAAAAAAGAGGTTTTGCTTCAAATGTCTTGTTCTGAGTGTTCTTCCACTTCTCCTTTCAGAAAAACACATAACTTTCCATTAGTTCCCTTCCTTTGCTAGAGCACTGGAGAGTGCCAGAAAAAGAAGGGCTTGGGATAGTTTGTGGAATGAGGTACTCTGGTTGAGGGAGTAGCGAAAAAAATAATAATACCCAAGCTGTGTATTTTTTTTTCTGTTACTCTAAATACTTGAAATATTATGATGTTCTAGTCGTGCTGTACTTGTGCTATATGTTCTTGAAGTAAATATAAAAATACCTTTTGAACAGAAAGTTTCAGGACAGGAAATTGCCCCCATATTTTGCAGGTTTTAACTCCAGTTTTAAAAACATAATTTCATGCACAGTTAAACTCTGTTGACAAATTTAATCTCAAAAATTAGGTAACAAATTGTTACTTACTCTAACTCTCTCAATGACCTATTTTACATCTTGTGCCAATCCATAATATGGTGGTTTGGTGTTTTTCTCTTGTTTTGTTGCATTATGCAGCCTCAGCCAATTTTTCTACAAATTCTAGTTAAGCAAACCATTGTTTAATAAGATGTGTGGATTCAGCCATTTCTCATGGATCAAAAAGGTGATAACTACCTATCTAATTGCAACAAAAAACAGCTTTCTCTTAAAACAAAAAAAGCAAAAGTTGATGTATACTTTGTGTTGAATGAATGTGTATGTAGCAAACTGGGCTATAAAGGCTACATCTTTCCTCCCATATATCATATTGTACAAACTGTGGGTTGTAAGAATGAAGACTAATCAGTTTATTAAAAGGATATGAAAATAAATTAGGTACCATTATATTTTGCGTAGTTCATCAAGTTACATGAGTCATTTTATGTGCACCCATCATGATACTTAGTTTCACTGACTTTTAAGATAGATGTTTGCCAAAACATGCTTGCTTTATAGATATTGTTTGACTACTACACCATGTAATTATAACAGTATTCATATCATGTCTTGTTTCAGGTTTGGCAGCATGTGGATGATATAATATAGATTGGGTTCATAGGTCATATTTGTTTAAACCCCAGTAGCCTGATTTACACATAAAACTGAGGACTCAATTATGATTTACAAACCATATTAGATGAATTACACATCATGCTATACCAACACTGCATGATGGCATAGCACAATGAAAGAAAACTACTGTAGCATCTGTTCATTTCAATCAAGATAGCTCAATTTGTTTAAGCTGAAAATTGTGCATTTTAAATTCACTGCAGATTTGCCAGTGAATTGTTTCAGTTGGAAAAAATATGTTTGTTCTATCTAGGGATAAATAAACAGGTATGCCTGGAAATGAAGAAATATGTTTAGATCCTCATCTAATGTATTTGAAGGAGAATGAATCACTGCTCATGGTGCAGAATGTAAACATAACTAGGAGTTTAAAGGTAAAAATGTCAAAAGGAACAGCTCAAAAGGTGTAGGTTTTTCTTTTTCTTTCTGAAGTCTGCTTTTTTTCTTTAAAAAAATAGCTTTTTTTCAATGAGACAAGCAGCAGCATCAAGATGATTATTCAACTTTTGCAACTCTCTTTTGAATGCATAAAGTAGGTTCCTTAGCAACTAGACGCTTAAGCCCAAATGCGAATCTGTTGAGTTTCTGTACACTGTTTCTTCTAAACAGTTTGTTTTCCAGTTATTTTCCATCCCGTTCATTGTAAAGTTAATATTTGCATATATTCAAAATAGCACATTAAGTTGAGGCAGGTGTCTTTGAGACAGCAAAAGGTACGTACATATAAAATTTGGAGATTGCTACTGGAATCAATTTAAATTGATCTTGCTATCAGATAGCAATGCTGTGTCAGAAATCAGATGCTTGCTAAATAACACTGCTGTTTTTTTAAAAAAAGATAATAAGCACGTGATTTCTTTGATCTTTCTTGAATTCAACATGTTTCAAATTTTATCTTTCGACACATTCTGATTTTTAAACAATGATCATGATGCAAACATTCATGGATCTTCTTTGGTAGGACCCATTCTTCATCAGAGACCTGTGTCAACCTGAGATAGGTGCCTATATTTCTGGGACTTAGAATAAAATTGTTGACTTCTGTTCTAAAAGGAATGCTGCAAAGACAACCTTGCAGTATTTCATCTAGAGGTGCACAACAGGCAATGTGGGAGCTCCTGCCTTATCTTGGTTCCTAGGATTTCCACAGTTTCCAGTGTTTAACAAATTCCAGGTTTTGCTTTATCATTGTAAATATTCTATTGTTTATATGATAGTGTATCAAATATCCTATTTATTAAAGAATACTAGTTTGGTACTGTTCATATAGTTAAAGTACATTGTCCTTATATATCTCTGATCATGTAGGATAAAAACATTTTCTTTTTATAGTAATCATAACCCAAGTATACATATGCCACCACAAAGCTATCTGTAGGAAAGTTTTTCTTTTGTAATGTTACTATCAAATATGCTATACACTTTAAATCTGAATGAGTATCTGCCTTTCAAGAGGGCTTTATATGCTAATGTTATATGCTAATATTATAGGACATAATGTAATGTTAAAAGAACAAATTGATACTGATGTAAGGTAGTTATATACAACAAATCCTTAAGTATCTATTTCATTATCTAAGAATGACAAACAAATATTAACCTGATTATTTGCTTTTATAATTAAAATATTTTATAAAATCATAGATTTGGGAGGAAAAAAGCACACATTTGACTATCAAATCTATTGTCCTATTCAGGAATTCAGATTAAAGGCTGCCTCTGTTTTAAGACATCCCATAAAGAGAAATTCATCATCTCCCACACAGGGAGCAATTTAAATCACAGGAAGTAATTGGTTGCACTGTCCATCTGCTCTCACTCTTAGGGAGTTTTCCTAATATTCAATTATATATGCCTGCAGTCTGCAGTGACAGGAGGCAGCTCTTTTTAAGTTTTTGAAAGATACAATAATGTCCTTCCTTACTCACTCATGGCTAAACAAAAATGTCTCATATTAAGTCTTAGTTTTCAATCCCTGACCATTCTTGTCTTTTTTTTTCATTTATTCTAATTGGTTGAATTCTTTTTATGGTATACCGCAGTACCCAGAACAGGACAGAGTATTGAAGGTGAGCAGAATAGAGTATAATAATTATGTTACGTGATTTAAAAATTATGTTTTTTTGTAGTTATCTATACCTGACATCTTATTTTGTTTTCTAGGATTTCTCAAAGATAATTAATTCATGTCAAATTATCAGCCTTCTCCTTCAGAGAATTAGCATACAATCCATCCAGTCTGGGAGATCTGAACTCTTTCCAAGTCAGTAGGTTTTCTCTGACTATACTTTTTTCATACTCAAACTAAAGTAGCCTTCAGTCTTCTTTTCTCAGATTCTTATATTAGATATCCTTACCTTAGATAACAACTAAAA